TTCCTCCTTAGCCGCTTAAGCGTTTGCTCATGCCTGGTCCAAACTGTCCACCTGAAACCTGTATGTTCTATCTGCCCTTCCATCCATCTGGCCATCCAATCCTTCACCCATTCATCTTTTGTCTCCATTAGTCTTTCCCCTCTTGTCTCTAAATGCCCCCTGGAGCAATGGATAGTTGGATGGGTTTTTTTTGTAAGTCCATTTTTATGGGAGTTCTGCAACCAAATAGGATATTTGAGAATTCAGGAAAGCTGCTCAGTCATTTTCTGAGGCAGATCAAATACTCACGGTCTCATGTGCATGGCGGAAAGTGCAGTTTTTCCATGATTTCCTACTCATGACATGACATTCAGTTTCCAGAACATCCAGCGTGAGATAGAAGAGAGACCCTCTGGGTCCCTACAGATGGAAACAGAAAAGCCTTTATGGCACATCATTTAGGAGAACAGTCAAAGGAAAACAAAAGAAAATGAAACAAACTTCAAACATTAAAACCCAGCATGTTTTAGCCAAAGAGACAGAAGTGTGTGCAAGCATTCAGTATTGCACTAAAACAATGGTTCCCAACCTGTGGCCCATGGACCACCAGTGGTCCGCAAGCTAAAATATGGTTCGCAGCTCCATCATTACTACACTGTTGTAACAAGGGCGACTGGTCTCGCAAAACCCTCTTATAGTGCCTAGGCTTATTAAATATGGTTTTCTGTGGGTGAGCAGATGGTGACTACTGGATGGCATATGTTCTGTATCAGAAACTAGAGCTGATGTGGTCTATCCAATGCAATTTTCTGAATTAGCACTCCAAATAACCAAACTGAATCTAAAGTTGACCAAAAACTGATTCATAGTCCTTTTGGCATTAATGTTGGAGATTGGTCCCTGGTCAAAGGGGTCCCTGGTCAAGTGGTCCCTGGTCAAAAAAAGGTTGGGAACCACTGCACTAAAATATTCTGTATCCATGGATTCAACCATCCATGGCTTGAAAATATTCCCCCCCCCCCCAATATCCCCCCATACCTTGATATTGCTCTTTTATAGAAGAGACCATTTTATTATACCATATCATATAATAGGACTTAAACAAATTTTGGTATCCAAAAGGGGTTTGGGAACCACAATTTCAGTGGATACCAAGGATCCACTGTGCTTGAAGACCATGGATTAGGTTTACTAGTTCGGAAACATCACATATGTTGAGGTTCCTGGGACAAAACCTACTGACATGATGCTAGTGTTAAGGATTAAGTAGTAACCAGCTTGCCATTCAAACACTCTCCAATACTCTCTATTTTCTTTCATCTTTGGAAATTAAGACAGAAATCTTAGCTAAATGTTCTGAAGTAACTCCATTAATGCTGATGCCAACAAACAGCTGTTCATATAAGTTTTCATCATAACCTTAACTTCACAGATCCCCAGATTTTTAAAGGGATAATGGAGGGTATTGATACCCCAAATGCTCCCACTGGATGCTTTGATCATTCCTTCCAAACCTATTAGGAGTGGAATTCCAAAACTGCCATCAAAGTTTTGGTACAGAGCTGCTTTAAGACACTTGATGTTTTCATACTTGCTAATAGGCCGACTTCCAACTGTATGATTCTAATAATCACAAAGGTGGGAAAAGTTACTTTTTATTATAACTTCTAAAATTCCTCAAACAGCATGACCAGCATTTTGGCCAGGGTGTTCTGAGAGCTGTAGACCAAAAAAGTAACCTTTCTCAGCTCTGTTATCCTGATTTGTTTTCTGGAAAATTTATGGCCGGTATTCTTTTTGTTATAGTACCATCCAGAGATGACTTCCAGGCACGATTTTGGTTGTGCTATTACCCTGCCCCATTTAATGAAGGAGGAGATATATATTGTCAGAAAGCAGTGAGTGTGCCCTATAAACTATTCACATTCAGAAAAAAGTATGTACAGAAAAATAGAGGGTTGTTTTTACAAATGTGGACAAACCCACACTGCAAATACATTCTATTCAATAAGGGGGCATGTGTACAAGCAAGATAAAACTTTCAAAACTCAGAAGTAGATAAGGACCAGATGTGAGATACAATGTGTCCATGTAAGTAGACTTGATAAAAATGCACACCATAAGGGGAGAGATATAATATCTAAGGAGTGCCCTCCAATGGGCAGAGCTAAGAGCCCTCCCTTCGAAAGCCTCCATAATAGTTTCATACTGGAGACCCTGGTGGCGAAACGAGTTGTGTTGGCAGAACTGCTGACTGACAAGTCAGCGGTTCAAATCCAGGGAGAGCGGGTTGAGATCCTTCTGTCAGCTCTAGCTCCCCATGCAGGGACATGAGAGAAGCCTCTCACAAGGATAGCAAAACATCAAAACATTTGAGCATCCCCTGGGCAACGTCCTTGCAGACGGCCAATTCTCTCACACCAGAAGTGAATTGCAGTTTCTCAAGCTGCTCCTGACATGAAAAAAAAGTTGCATGTTTTAGTAATCACTTTATGATTTTTTTTGTTTTAACCTCCTTGTTCTCTAATGTTACAGTACCCTTCAGCGACATCCCTATAGTTCTGCCATTGCTAAACACACAACAGTTCTTCTGTCATGTTGGAGTGGGGTCTGCATGACTTATCTGTGGATTGGGATAATTTGACCCTTTTTGTGCCACTATCAGCTTCTCCTCAGCAATTGACCAACAATGGATCCCATGTCTCTCCTCCCAACATTCATTTGACCTCTTAAATGTCTCTGGATGGAGTGAAGAAAACAAAGTCAGTGCTTACCTGTGGCATTTCACGGGCATCAAAGATTCGCTGGAGACCCAAAATATAGCCCTCCTTTCGGTGTTTATTCAGCTTGTTGAGGGCCCCTTCTGCGATATCCTCCACCACAGAAGAATTACATGCTGGGGACGTTAACTGAATGGGAGGCGGTGGTAGAGCCAGGCAATACAATACCTGGAGCCCAAGCACAAAAAGTATTAGACAGGCCATTTGGAAATGCCTGGGAAGAGGGTGCTTAGAAATGTATTCAAGATTCTTTATATATCTGGAGGTGGTTTACTAATATTTGTTCTTCTGTTGCACATTGGCCCTCACCTTTAAACCTGGACATGGTCATCACAAACAATAACTCAGCCATTAGAAGATTACAGATGCACAAGTTGATGCAATTCACCGCTGAGTCTGTGTCCTTGGATTTAAACCAAGGAAGCCCTGCTCAGAACAGTGGCATTTTAAAAAGAATTTATGATAACTATGACACTATCTCGTACGGTTAAGTGAGACCCCAAAATAAGGTTGATAGTACAAACTGCAGCATCTTTAGAGGTCAGCTGTTACCAACAGTAATGTGGAGTTTGAAGAGGCACAGATAGAGGGTGAAAGAGAAACATATCAAGAGGAAGCAAACCCTTGTTGGGACTGCCTTCCATCTGGAAATCAATGTCCACACTGCGAAAGGCCATGCAGATCTAGAACAGGCCTCTGCAGTCACTTACAGATCCACCCACCACCAAGACCCTACCCTTGGAAGACAATCATACTAGGCCATGGGTATGTGTGTGTGTATGTATGTATGTGTATATATGTATGTATGTATGTGTGTGTGTGTGTGTATATATCCCGTGTGTGTGTGTGTGTGTATCTATATAAATAAAAATGTAATGTTCGTTTGTGGGATTCACAGAACTCAAAAACCACTGAGGGAATGGACACAAATTTGGACACAAGACACCTAACAACCCAATGTATGACCTTCACTCAAAAAAAATGATTTTGTCATTTGGGAGTTGTAGTTGCTGGGATTTATAGTTCACTTACAATCAAAGAGCATTCTGAACCCCACCAACAATGGAATTGAACCACACTTGGCACAAAGGACTCCCATGATGAACAGAAAACACCAGAAGGGTTTGGTTGGCATTGACCTTGAGTTTGGGAGTTGTAGTTCACCTACACCCAGAGAGCACTGTGGACACTCAAACAATGATGGATCTGGACCAAACTTGGCACGAATATTCCATATACCCAAATATGAACACAGATGGAGTTTGGGGGAAATAGACCTTGGCATTTGGGAGTTGTAGTTACTGGGATTTATAGTTCACCTACAATCAAAGAGCATTCTGAAAGAACCCCACCAACGACAGAATTGGGGCAAACTTCCCACACAGAACCCCCAGGACCAACAGAAAATACTTAAGGCCATCCAGTCCAACTCTCTTCAACAGGGCAAGAAAATGTAATCAAAGCCCTCCTGACAAAGAGCCATCCAGCCATAGATATAGATATATGATTTGCGCACACTGAGATATAATATCATAGATTTGAAAGGGACCCCTAAAGAAGGACAATTATATGTTGCATGTTCCAGAGTAAGCAAAAGAGGCAATCTCCATAGAATTAGGACTAAGGAGGCTGTCGAGGTCCTGAACTGGTGCTTGGCCGCTGTGACGGTCTGGATGGGGGCGAACAAATTGAAATTGAATCCAGACAAGACAGAGGTACTCCTGGTTAGTCGCAAGGCCGAACAGGGTATAGGGTTACAGCCTGTGTTGGATGGGGTCGCACTCCCCCTGAAGACGCAGGTTCGCAGTTTGGGTGTGATCCTGGACTCATCGCTGAGCCTGGAACCCCAGGTTTCGGCGGTGACCAGGGGAGCATTCGCACAGTTAAAACTCGTGCCAACTGCGCCCGTACCTTGGGAAGTCTGACTTGGCCACGGTAGTCCACGCTCTGGTTACATCCCGTTTAGACTACTGCAACGCTCTCTACGTGGGGTTGCCTTTGAAGACGGCTCGGAAGCTCCAATTAGTCCAACGGTCGGCAGCCATGTTACTAACAGGAGCGGAGCGCAGGGAGCATACAACTCCTCTGCTGCACCAGCTCCACTGGCTGCCGATTTGCTACCGGGCTCAATTCAAAGTGCTGGCGTTGGCCTTTAAAGCCCTAAACGGTTCTGGCCCAACTTATCTATCCGAACGTATCTCGGCCTATCAGCCCACCAGGACCCTAAGATCTTCTGGGGAGGCCCTGCTCTCTATCCCGCCTGCTTCACAGGTGCGGCTGGCGGGGAACGAGAGACAGGGCCTTTTCTGTGGTGGCCCCTCGGCTATGGAACGCCCTTCCCATGGAGGTAAGATCAGCCCCCTCGCTGATGGTGTTCCGAAGAAGATTAAAAACCTGGATGTTCGGACAGGCATTTGGTTAATTCGGTGCAATGAATGTGATGATTAAAGGATTGGTAATATGGACGACGAAACTGGATCACGATTTTAGTCAGGAGATGCATTGGATTGTTATTGATGTACCAATATTGTGTATTATGTTTTTATGGTTTTAAATTGTATACTGTTGACTATTGTATTTGGTATTTTGTTGTAAACCGCGTTGAGTCGCCAGCTAGGCTGAGAAACAGCGGTATACAAGTACAGTAAATAAATAAATAAATAAATTACAAACTGGCAATAAACATATATTACCTAACCAATATCAATTTTCAGAATATGCCTCTGCAGTCATTTATAGACCCATCCACTGCTAAGACCCTACCCTTGGAAGACAATCATGCTAGCCCATGGGTGATCATCTGTAGATATATATTGAAGTATATCAATTGTATCCCAGGCGTTCCTCGGGGGTAAGTGCCTAGAATTGCGAACTGGCATTACCAATGCCAGTTTCCCTATTGCACTGTAATGTGAATGGGTTATTATAGCGGGGAATCATTGCATGCAGTCTGGAAATTGCTTATGAACCTTCCTTGTGGACTATGTGGGTGGAAGTTACATTCTCCCTACACTTCCTGCATGCCTAAGAATTTCCCAGAAGTTGTTCTAGATCAGTGGTTCTCAACCTTGGGTCCCTAGATGTTTTTGGCCTACAACTCCCAGAAATCCCAGCCAGTTTACCACCTGTTGAACAGGTTGAACAGAACAGAACAGATGGTTGAACAGAAGCTCTCCGAAGCTCTAGGTGCTCTTACTGCCTATTACAGGGAAAACCAGCTGATCCCTAACCCATCTAAAACACAGACATGCGCCTTTCACCTCAAGAACAGACAAGCATCCCGAGCTCTGAGGATTACCTGGGAAGGAATCCCACTGGAGCATTGCAACACACCCAAATACCTGGGAGTCACTTTGGACCGTGCTCTGACTTACAAGAAGCACTGCCTGAACATCAAGCAAAAAGTGGGCGCTAGAAACAATATCATACGAAAGCTGACTGGCACAACCTGGGGATCACAACCAGACACAGTGAAGACATCTGCCCTTGCGCTATGCTACTCTGCTGCTGAGTATGCATGCCCAGTGTGAACACATCTCACCACACTAAAACAGTAGATGTGGCTCTTAATGCGACATGCCGCATTATCACAGGGGTGTCTGCGCCCCACACCACTGGAGAAATTACACTGCTTAGCCGGTATTGCACCACCTGACATCCGCCGGGAAGTAGCAGCCAATAGTGAAAGGACCAAGGCAGAGACATCTCCAGCTCATCCCCTGTTTTGGGTATCAGCCAGCACGTCAATGACTTAAATCAAGAAATAGTTTTCTTAGATCTACAGAGACACTCGCTGGAACACTCCAGCAAGGCCCAAACCCAGCACCTCAATTCATGGGTGATACTAGATGAGAGACTCCCCCCTGGGCACTCAGAAGACTGGGCGACTTGGAAGGCGCTGAACAGACTGCGCTCTGGCACCACGAGATGCAGAGCCAACCTTCAGAAATGGGGCTACAAAGTGGAATCCTCACATGCGAGTGCGGAGAAGAACAAACCACTGACCACCTGCTGCAATGCAACCTGAGCCCTGACACATGCACAATGGAGGACCTTCTTGCGGCAATCCCAGAGGCACTCCAAGTGGCCAGATACTGGTCAAAGGACATTTAACCAAATACCAAATTTGCAAAATCTGTGTGTTTTTTTCTTTTTCTTTTTAATCTGTGTGTTTGTTTTGCTCTGTTAGAATTGTAATACAATGGTTGCTGATGACACGATAAATAAAATAACCAGCTGTTAGGATTTCTGGGAGTTAAGGGCCAAAACATCTGGGGACCCCAGGTTGAGAACCACTGTTCTAGATGATATCCAGGGATGTCCAGTCCATAATGTTGGGAGTAAAATTGATTATATTGGTTTACAAGCTGGATGGATGCAGGGAATGCTGTGGAAGTAGCATATCTGGATTTCAGTAAGCCTTCGACAAGGTCCCACATGACCTACTGGCAAACAAACTAGTCAAATGTGGGCTTGGAAAAACTACAGTTAGGTGGATCTGTAATTGGTTAAACGAACAAACTCAAAGAGTGAATATCCCCAATGCTTCCTGGATCCTGGACCAGGGCCTGGTTGCTGTGATGGACTGGATGAGGGCTAACAAGCTGAAGCTTAATCCACACAAGACAGAAGTCTGCCTGGTCAGTCGTGAGGCTGATCGGGGTATAGGGTTGTTTGTTGTGTGGTTCATGTTTTATGATGTTTTATATTTTATTGGTTTTACAGTTTTTAACATAGTTGACTGTTATATGTTTTGATTGTGTTACTCTCTAATCTTGTTTATATTGGGCTTGGTCCCTATGTAAGCCACCACGAGTCCCTTCGGGGAGAAGGAAACGGGATAAAAGAATAAACTTATTATTAATACTTGAAACACAAACAAGATGAGTCCACAGCAGACACTCTGCTGGTTGTTGTATTGGATCACATGTTGGAAATTTCCCACTGTGTTATGTATCAGTGAATAATGTGTACAGATCCCAGTAAGGTGGCCTTCTGCAGCTGGCAGATGGTAATTTTGTCTGTGCCGATTGTGTTTAAGTGCAGGCCAAGGTCTTTAGGCACTGCACCCAGTGTGCCGATCACCACTGGGACCACCTTGACTGGCTTGTGCCAGAGTCTTTGCAGTTCAATCTTTAAATCCTCATAGTGTCAGCTTTTCCAGTTGTTTCTCTTCAATCCTGCTGTCACCTGGGATTGCAACATCGACAATCTATACTTTGTTTTTTTTAAAAAACATAATCGTGAGGTCAGAAGTATTGCCTGCGCACTCCACCACTAGAGAAATTATACTGTTTAGCCAGTATTACACCACCTGACATCTGCCGGGAAGTAACAACCAATAGTGAAAGGACCATGCAGTGACATCTCTGGCCAGGCCCATAGCCAGGATTTTGATTCAGGGGGAGCTTTGAGTTTGATTTGGGGGGGGGGGGCTGAGTCTGAGTGAAAGAGGGTCTACCTAGCAAACCTTTTGTATTGTTACCCCAATACCCCCATGCATATGGGATATATTGAGTATGGTGATCAGATCATGATATGAATAAACATAACAGTTTAAATAATGTACCAGTAAGGCCTTCTTGTGGACCACCATGAGAATTGGGGGGGGGGGGGGGCTGAAGCCCCTCAAGCCCCCCCCCCTCGGCTACATGCCTGTCTCTGGCCCATCCTCTGTTCAGATATCAACCAGCACCCCAATGTCTTAAATCAACAAATAGCTTTCTAAGATTTACAGAGATACTCGCAGGAACACCTCAGCAAGCAAGAGTCCAAAAGTGGTAGGCGAAAACCTGGAACCTTAAGTCATGGCTGATACCGAATGAGAGACTCCCCCTGGGCACACAGAAGACTGGGTGACTTGGAAGGCGCTGAACAGACAGTGCTCTGGCACCCCGAGAAGCAGAGCCAACCTTAAGAAATGAGGCCACAAAGTGGAGTTCACGACATGCGAGTGTGGAGAAGAGCAAACCACAGATCACCTATTACAATGGAGTCTGAGCCCTGCCACATGCACAATGGAGGACCTTCTTACAGCGACACCAGAGGCACTCCAAGTGGCCAGCTACCAGTCAAAGGACATTTAGGGTTTTTAAACTCTGTATCTAGCACTTATTTTATTCCAATGTTTACAGCTTGGCTATGGTGGCAGTAATTTACCACCGTGGTTAGAGGTTCATAGTATCATAGAATCATAGAGTTGGAAGAGACCAGTTTTTTTAATACTGGTAGCCAGATTTTGTTCATTTTCATGGTTTCTTCCTTTCTGTTGAAATTGTTCACATGCTTGTGGATTTCAATGGCTTCTCTGTGTAGCCTGACATGGTGGTGTCAGACTACCAGTATTAAAAAACTCAAAAATTACAACAGCAAAACAACAGAGAGTAAACAATCAGGCACATCAAATCACCTCTCAAAGAAAGATTCCCCCAGGCACTTCCAAGCCATTAAATGCTAATCAAGGTGGTCAGTTGAAACATTCACACCTAGCTCCAGCAGACAAAAGTCCTTTGTCCACCCTGGTCTTTCCACAGATATATAAACCCATTTTCCTAGTTCCAACAGACCTCACTACTTCTGAGGATGCTTGCCATAGATGCAGGCGAAACGTCAGGAGAAATGCCTCTAGAACATGGCCATATAGCCCGGAAAAAACCTACAACAACCCAGTGATTCTGGCCATGAAAGCCTTCGACAATACGTTATTATTATTATTATTATTATTATTATTATTATTATTATTATTATATAATTGTATACTTCCCTCTCTCTCTCTCTCCTTTCTTTCCCTAACAAGACAACCTTCATTTTTGAAGGATTTCTAGCTCTGTAGTGTCTACTATTCTTCCAAGGATCCAGATTCAAATAGGGAAGGGAAAAAAAGACAGATGACAAACATTCTTTATTTAATATTTTATTTTAGAAGCACCATGGTTTGGTTGTCTTATACTCTGAATACAGATTTCCCAACATTGCCTTTGCAATATCACATAGCATTTTTTGGACACTGGAAAGGGGGAAAAATCATATACAGAGAAGACACCTGGTAAAGGTTTTGTGGTCATTTCAGTCCAATGTTGCATACATTCTTCCTTCCAAACACAAATCACCCACAACTGATTCTATGTGGCACAACAGATTCGGTCATATTTTAATTATCTAACTTGTAAATTATGATATTATATCATTTGTGCGCTTTCTTCTATTTCTGCTACTGAAAGGAAAAGGTTAGGAAACTATGTGGCAGAAGGAATCTCCTTGGAATATCCAAACATCTGTCCAGCTCTCCTCTTGCTCATATGATATCATCCTGGACTATTTCCATGTTCCCAACTGATGATCTTGAGGCCTAGAAACTTATTTTCAGAATAATCTAAAAATGATAGAAAGGGTAGAAGATACTAATCTGTGAGAAGCAACAGTTTGGAGACATCACCCATATAGCTCTGCTAAGAAGAGGGAGTAAATGTTTGCCAATTATTGCTGTGACTTATCAGGAGAAAGTCTTCTTTGAGTTCAGGTTTAGGGGGACATCAAAGATGGGTTTATTAATGAGACATTCCCGTTGATTCTATATACCTCAGCAAATTCTGTGTTTATATTGCAAAGTGTCGGTATTTTCCTGGACACTGTTGGAGATGTGGTATTGGCTGGATCTGTGGTACATCAGCTGCAGCTCTTTTGACCACCGGACTTGCTTGGACCACTGGACTTGCTTGGACCACTTCAGCAGAGTGGGACTCATGCGATGCAAGTGTGTTGTTGTGGGAATGGATGAGGTCCAGGACAGTGTGGCCGACTCCAGGGGAAGGGATCTTCTTCCCCAAATGATGCTGAGTCAGGTGAGTATGGGAATGTCCAACCTGGAAAAGAAAACCATCGTGAGGAGTCTGCTTGTGCCGTTGACTCGGTTCTCTTTAAGGCAGTGGTTCTCAACCTTTCTAATGCCGTGACCCATAAATACAGTTCCTCATGTTGTGGTGACCCCCAAACATAAAATTATTTTTGTTGCTACTTTTACTACTGTTATAAATTGTAATGTAAATATCTGATATGCAGGATGTTTTTTTATTGTTACAAATTGAACATATTTAAAGCATAGTCATCACAAAAACAATATACTTGGGGGAGTATGGACAACGGATGATGGGATTTGCAATACCTTCAACTGATTCAGATCTGACTTCCACATACCACTGAGACCCCCATGAATTATAGACCTGGACCAAACTTGGAACAGAGAACCCCCATGACCAACAGAAAATACAGGAGGGGTTTGGGAGGAATTGACAGTGATTTAGGGGAGATGTAGTTCACCTACATCCGGAGAGCAAACCCAAATAACTATGGACCTGGACCAAACTTGGTAGGAATACTCATATATGCCCAAATTTGAACACTAGTGGAGTCTGGGAAAAATAGACCCCATGACCCCTTGGACCCCATAGACCCCATGACCCCTTGGAAATGGCCAATCGACCCCTCTGGGGGTCGTGACCCCCAGGTTGAGAACTGCTGCTTTAAGGTAAGGGCTTAATGCTCTGGAGTTGTAGGAGTTGTAGTTTTACAAGGCCTTTAGCCTTCTCTGCCAAAGAGTGCTGGTGCCTCCCCAAACTACAACTCCCAGGTTTCTATAGCATTGTGCCATGACAGTTGAACTGTATTAATTCTACAGTGTAGCCACACCCATGGTTGTGAGATGTTGCTACAGTAGTCTCCCATCCATCTTTTCTGAGATGCCCTGCAAACCTGGCCATTTCCACAGGTTTGTGGAGAGGAGGGAAAACAACAAAACACCACCCAGATACCATATTTCACCACGTAATAGTCGCACCCCCTTTTTTGGCCTCCCAAATTGTTATTTTGTTTTGCTTTCCTCACATAATAGTTCCAGCCGTGACTCATTACCTCAAAGTATCCAGTTTAAAGAAAATAGTTGGATGCTTTTGTGCCAACCCCCATCCCACCAAATAAGAAAAGGCCAGATCCAGTTGAGAAATTATGCTTTTTTGAGGGGGGGGGGGATTATCATAATTGAAGCTGGATCTACACTGCAATAGAATGCAGTTTGAACCCATACGCAACATTATAGGGCATTACATAATACCACATAATGCCATTTTTTCATATCAGGAGTGATTTGAGAAACTGCAAGTCAATTCTGGGTTGAGAGAATTGGCTATCTGCAAGGATGTTGCCCAGGGGATGCCCGGATGTATGATGTGAGAGACTTCTCTTATGTCCCCGCATGGGAAGCTGGAGCTGACAGAGGGAGTTCAACCCACTCTCCCTGGATTCAAACCGCTGACCTGTCAGTCAGCAATCCTTCCAGCACAAGAGTTAAACCCATTGTGCCACTGGAGGCTCCTCATATAATGCAATGTAGACCCATATAATGTTGTTTAATGCAGTTCAAACTACCAGCCTACAGCTTCCAGAATGTCTCAGCTGCATAGATACTGGCAGGAGATGGGGGGTGGAGGGGGAGTGGAGGTTGTGGGACTTGTAATCCAAACTTTCCTTTCCTAAGCACTGAAGTTGGCAAAAAAAGTAAAGGACAATTGAGGTCTAACAACCTAGAAAGGGCATATTATCACTGACAGGTAACCAAAGGCTGTAAGGATTGGTACAGAATCTGTTGGGGAAAAATATTTTTGAATGCACCTCCCCATGGCCCTTACAATGAGCTAGTGGGTTTTTGGGATAGTCCAAAATAACTTTTCTTAAGGGGATCTTTTGCAAGAAGCGGAGTCTGCCTTATGTATTTGAGCACCAACCATGTGGTGTCTCTTATTAGCTGTTTGACACACATACCTTCAAATGTCAATAACAAGTTGTTATGGTAAAAAAAAGGAAGGGAAGCAATTCCTGAAAGTAATTTTTAGTGTTATACCTGTTTGTCAAAGATTTCACAAGCCACTACATTGTCAGGGAAAACCATGAGAATCGTTGGACCATCACCAGAAGGCTTTTTGAAAACGGTGGCTTTGCAGAACCCAAAATGCTGGAGAAAGAGGAGGATAAGTTCAATCCAGGTGTAAGGATAAAAGTACAGAAAATCACACACTACCCCCTTCCTCATAGAAATAACCCAGAAAATGATCATAAATTGGGAATGATTGAGTTCCATTGCATCTGAGGGTCCAGCTACAGCAGTCCATGTACCACCAGTGGTCCACAAGAACTAAAATATGGTCTACGACATCACCATTACCATACCTTTGCAATGAGAGCGACTGGTCTCACAAAACCCTCTTATAGTGCTGAGGCTTATTAAATATGGTTTTCTGTGGGCAAGCAGATGGTGACTACTGGATGACATATGTTCTGTATCAGAAACTAGAGCTGATATGATCTATCCAATGCAATTTTCTGAATCAGCATCCCAAATAACCAAACGGAATCTAAAGTTGACCAAAAATTGATTTGTAATTCTTTTGGTGCTAATCATAGAATCAAAGAGTTGGAAGAGACCTCATGGGCCATCCAGTCCAACCCCCTGCCAAGAAGCACCCCTGACAGATGGCCATCCAGCCTCTGTTTAAAACTTCCAAAGAAGCAGCCTCCACCACACTCCGGGGCAGAGATCTCCACTGCTGAACAGCTCTCATAGTCAGGAAGTTCTTCCTCATGTTCAGATGGAATCTCCTTTCTTGTAGTTTGAAGCCATTGTTTCCCGTCCTAGTCTCCAGGGAAGCAGAAAACAAGCTTGCTCCCTCCTCCCTGTGGCTTCCTCTCACATATTTATACATGGCTATCATATCTCCTCTCAGCCTTCTCTTCTTCAGGCTAAACATGCCCAGCTCCTTAAGCCGCTCCTCATAGGGCTTGTTCTCCAGACCTTATCATTTTAGTCGCCCTCCTCTGGACACATTCCAGCTTGTCAATATCTCTCTTGAATTGTGGTGCCCAGAATTGGATACAATATGTTGGAGAGTGGTCTCTGGTCAAAGTGGTCCCTGGTCAAGTGGTCAAAAAAGGTTGGGAACCACTGATCTACAGGGACTGAATTGGGGTAGAAGTCATTCCTGGACATCTAGGGTTACGGTTAGAGTTAGAGTTAGGGTTTTGCTTGAGAAATGACTGTGAGAGCCATTCAGCAGTGGAACTCTCTGCCCCGGAGTGTGGTGGAGGCTCCTTCTTTGGAAGCTTTTAAACAGAGGCTGGATGGCCATCTGTCGGGGGTGCTTTGAATGCAACATTCCTGCTTCTTGGCAGGGGGTTGGACTGGATGGCCCATGAGGTCTCTTCCAACTCTAGGATTCTATGATTCTGTGTTTGTGGCTCCAAGTAAGTGGGTGTATCAAATCAAATATTTACTTTCAAAATTAAATTATTTTAAAACAATTCTTTGGTTTACATATAATTTTGTCATTTAATAAAGATGAAAGCAAATTTGTATACTTATGAGAGGGATAAATTAAGTTTGGCTGGATATTGCAGGATGGAGTTGCCACCCAGAGTTTAGGATGCTTTGGACTCTAGACACTGTTCAAGGGTTTCTGGTCCCTAAAGCGGAATAAAACTAGTTTACCTGATTTTGCATCAGAAGTGGACAGAATGTAGACAACTCACTCAAAAGGTCTTAAATGGTGTGTCATAAATTTAGAGCATGTGTGTGAACAATGAGGATTGTGGTTTACCAACCACTGGAAGCCACTGGAATCCATGCAAAGGATGACAGTAATCTAACCCTGGTTTATCATGGTGAATCAGACTGGATCTACATTACCATATAATCCAGTTTCTGAATCCAGATTATCTGTTTTGAACTGAACTATATGAGTCTACACTGCTATATGACCCAGTTCAAAGCAGACAATCTGGATTCAAAAACCAGATCATATGGCAGTGTAGATGCGGCTTCAGGTTTTGGGGCTTCTCAGACACGAAAAAGTTGCTCTTTGGGACCACCATTCACAGAACTCTTAAGCAGTATGGCTGGCTGGGGATTTTGGAAATTGTAATAAAAAATATCCCAAGATCTACATTTCAATGCTCACCAGTCCTCCTATTCAATTAAAGGCACAGGAAAAACAAACAAACAAAAAAGTAAAACAAAAAACCCCTAAAAAAAACCAGAAAAGCAAATAAACAAAAAACCCAACCAACCAAGCAACCAAACAAACAAAAACAGGAAACCACTTTAGACCCACAAATAATTCTGCTTTCAAACCATGTTGCTGGCACTTACTGCGTGTTCTCCTGTCATTACATGGCAATCTTTGTGCTCATTTGCTTCTTTTTCTGTGCAGTTGGTGGCAGCAATGGCAAACTCCACGAAGGTAGCACGAGGCATGTGCTGGGAGAGAAGAGAAAAGACCATATCTTATCTGTCCCTTGAGCAGGAAACTAAGCATGAAGCAGTCAAATGATGGAACAATATACATCGTCGTATGCAACACTGGAGTGGCCGCATATAGCTGTGGCATTTGCTTCATAGTGCATCTCCAACCAGCTTGTGAATTTGAGTTATTTTGAATTAGGATGTGGGTCTCCCAAGTCTGGTATCACTAGAGTTCCCACACCTGGCCCCTCTTCTCCAGTCCTCAGGTAAAGGGAAGGAATCTTAGGGCAAGAGGGCTACCTTGAAAATGTATTGTCGAAGGCTTTCATGGCCTGAATCACTGGGTTGTTGTAAGTTTTTAAGGCTGCTTGGCCATGTTCCAGAAGCATTCCTGACATTTCACCTGCATATATGACAGGCATCCTCCCAACCTCTGAGGATGCCTGCCATAGATGCAGGTGAAATATCAGGAGATAATGCTTCTAGAACATGGACATACAGCCCAAAAAATTGACAACAACCCTACCTTGAAAAGTCGGTGTGAAACCATCATTAGTCATTTGTATGTTTTTGACTGGAATGGTACAATGAGCAACTGTAGTTGATGTTTCATGTGCCATGATTAATGACACCATTAGGGCTGCTCTTTGTAACATGAGTCTTGGCATCCCAAGTCCTCTAGTTTCAGATTTTGGCTGTGACATGTCAGGACCTTGGGCTCATCCTAACCTGGCAACCCTACTTTTTGAACTAACAAATCACTGGGTTGTTATAGGTTTTTTCGGGCTATATGGCCATGTTCTAGAGGCATTCTCTCCTGACGTTTCGCCTGCATCTATGGCAAGCATCCTCAGAGGTAGTGAGATCTGTTGAAACTAGGAAAATGGGTTTATATATCTGTGGAATGACCAGGGTGGGACAAAGGACTCTTGTCTGCTGGAGCTAGGTGGTAGGCTTGGGTAACTACGGAAAAACATTCACACCTAGCTCCAGCAGAAAAGAGTCCTTTGTCCCACCCTGGTCTTTCCACAGATATATAAACCCATTTTCCTAGTTCCAACAGACCTCACTACCTCTGAGGATGCTTGCCATAGATGCAGGCGAAACATCAGGAGAGAATGCCTCTAGAACATGGACATATAGCCTGAAAAAACCTACAACAACCCAATGATTCTGGCCATGAAAACCTTTGATAACAACCCACTGTCTTGGGGAGATATTTTTTCCCCATTCTGCTTTCAAATTTTTTTAACTAGAGGTTTTGGGAGTGAACCTGGACTGTTGTTGTTGTTGTTGCTGCTGCTGCTGCTGCTGCTGCTGTTGTGTGTCTTCAAGTTATTTCTGACTTATGGCAACTCAAAGTTAACCCTATCAGAAGGTTTTCTTGCCAAAATCTCTTTAGAGGGGGTTTCCATTGCCTCCCTCTGAAGCCAAGTGGGATTTGCAATCTACACATCCCTTTTTGGCCCAACATGTCTCTGTTTTACAAACTGGATGCTGGAACAGCAGTTAATGTTGCTTTGAGTTTATGCAGAAAGTAAAACAAGTCCCTGGAACTATCACAAATTTCCTTGTGCTCTTCTTTCTCCCGTCAATCACGTATCACATCTAGACTATGCATTGTCTCAGAAATGGACTTTCACCACTTTCCACTGAATGTTTTTAAACTACCATTCAGGTGTTAGAGTCAAAATATTAAAGGGATTTAGCTATATCACACTTTGCTTGATCTCCGATGAATTGGGTTTCTGAAAAAAAATATTCTTAATGGCAGTAGTCTTAGCTAATCTGGTGTAACATAGAGAGCAATAGAGAGGTAGATACTAAAATCCTTGTATAATTCAATCCTCCAGGATGGGGAAAGCCATCTGCAGGATCTCCCAAATAAAATCAGTTTGCACAGCAGCAAAACATGGGACTTTCATGGACGTCTTTCCTATCTCGAAAGCTTTTAGATACTCACAGAGTGTCTTCCTCTTGTAATCTCAAGGAGGTCATAGTGATGGTCTGTCTCATTGTGAGCATTGAACTCAGCGAGCGCAGTGGTAACGGCATTCACCACCTCAGGTTCATTCAGAGGCTGCAAAGGTGCACAGTCAGGGCAAAGCCTTTGAAGATCTTCTCTTGAGTCTAAGGAAGTAAAAGAGAAACACATGATTGACTCATATATATCTTTCAGCAGGTAACATTTTCAGCTAGCATCTCCTGAAGATTTAGGGTAGCTAATCAGTTCTTGGATTGACATTATTTGGTGGCACGCAAAACAAAGAGAAGAGTGTTATATTTATTTACTTACTGCATTTTCGTGGCAATCTTCCCTCAATAAATTCAGAGTGCTATATCTTCACAATAAACCTTAAGGTAAAGTGGAGTAATGGATCTTTTCCACATTGCACAATCGTAGTGCTATGGTGCCACTATAATTGTCATAGTGCCATGCAATGGAATCCTAGGAACACTAGTTTCAAGAAGTACAGTGAGCCCTCCACATTTGCAGATTTAACTTATGCAGATTTGATTGTTCATGGATTTGATCAATACGTTCTCTGCAGGAATCCCTATGTCCTCCAATGCAACTCTAGAAATCTCTAGATTCTCCAGTGCGATTATATGGTCAACATCTGGCAGAAGTTGACCATAGATTCACTTGGAGGAAACAGTTCAATAAAGAGGCGTTATCTTTGGTTAAAAGTAATTTCACTCATTGTTTGTGCACTTTTGCCCCCCTATGAAAGTGTAAGGCAGGGGTGCTCATACTAAGGTCCGGGGCCAGATGTGGCCCTCTAAGGTCATTTACCTGGCCCTTGCTCAGGGTCAACCTAAGTCTGTAATAACTCAAGCACACAACAACAACAACAACAATCCTATCTCATTAGCCAAAATCAGGCCCACACTTCCCATTGAAATACTAATAAATTTATATTTGTCAAAATTGGGTTGTAGGTTTTTTCGGGCTATATGGCCATGGTCTAGAGGTATTCTCTCCTGACATTTCGCCTGCATCTATGGCAAGCATCCTCAGAGGTAGTGAGGTCTGTTGGAACTAGGAAAAAGGGTTTATATATCTGTGGAATGACCAGGGTGGGACAAAGGACTCTTGTCTGCTGGAGCTAGGTGTGAATGTTTCAACTGATCACCTTGATTAGCATTTGATTGCCTGGCAGTGCCTGGAGCAATCTTTTGTTGAGAGGTGATTAGAAGTCCTTGTTTGTTTCCTCTCTGTTGTTGTGCTCTTCTAATTTTAGAGTTTTTTTAATACAATTTGTCAAAATTGTTCTTCATTTTAATTATTGTATTGTTTTTAAGTTGTCTTTGCACTACAAATAAGATATGTGCAGTGTGCATAGGAATTCATTCATGTATTTTTCAAATTATAATCCGGCCCTCCAACAGTTTGAGGGACTGTGACCTGGCCTTCTGTCTAAAAGGTTTGAGGAACCCGGGTGTAAGGCCTAGAATTCCTTGCCAGAAAGTTCTGGTCAAACTACAAATCCCAAGATTCCATGGGATGCAGCCATGGTGTCTAAAAGGGTATTAAAGTACTCTAAGGTTATAGGTGTAAGAAAGAGTCCAATGATGGACTGAGCGAACCCAAGGTCACTGAGTGACTTTGTGGCCAACTGAGGTATGGAATGCATCTAAGTCTGGCTTTCTATTCACTACGATTTACTGCAATTAATCTAAAATGACAAAAGCCTACTTACAAGCCTTGTGATAGAAAGACTAGGCTTCTGTTTATGCAGTTGATATGGGAGCAGCAACCTTTTTGGAGGGTTTTTGCTAGGGTATTAAATACACTGGTTGCAGGCCTTTAGTGACCTTACTCCAATGGATACCAAACCAAGGGAAAGTGTGGCACTCCATGAAGGTCCGACCAGTTGGAGAATAGTGGGCACAGCTAAGGAAACCCTGTCATAGATTCCGCTGTGAAGCAGAAATGACATGATGGCACTCAACAATAACAAAAGCAAATAGAATCATAGAATCGTAGAGTTGGAAGAGACCTCATGGGCCATCTAGTCCAACTCACTGCCAAGAAGCAGGAATATTGCATTCAAAGCACCTCTGACAGATGGCCATTTAGCCTCTGTTTAAAAGCTTCCAAAGAAGGAGCCTCCACCACACTCCAGGACAGAGAGTTCCACTGCTGAATGGCTCTCACAATCAGGAAGTTCTTCCTAATGTTCAGATGGAATCTGCTTTCTCATAGTTTGAAGCCATTGTTCCGTATCCTAGTCTTCCAGCGAAGCAGAAAACAAGTTTGCTCCCTCCTTCCTGTGACTTCCTCTCACATATTTATACATGGCCATCATCATATCTGCTCTCAGCCTTCTCTTCTTCAGGCTAAACATGCCCAGCTCCTTAAGCCGCTCCTCATAGGGCTTGTTCTCCAGACCCTTGATCATTTGAGTCGCCCTCCTCTGGACACATTCCAGCTTGTCAATATCTCTCTTCAATTGTGGTGCCCAGAATTGGACACAATATTCCAGGTGTGGTCTAACCAAAGCGGAATAGAGGGGTAGCATTACTTCCCTAGATCTAGACACTATGCTCCTATTGATGCAGGCCAAAATCCCATTGGCTTTTTTTGCCACTACATCACATTGTTGGCTCATGTTTAATTTGTTGTCCATGAGGACTCCAAGATCTTTTTCACACGTACTGCTCTTGATTGGGGGGGGGGGGATAGGTGAAGATGATTATGGGACAACACAGTAGATAGTGGGACTGCTTCCCATGTGATCTCAAATAAATGGGGTTGGGGGACTTTTGCAAAATTATTTTGATCCCTAGGGGCCCCGGAGATGCCTCCAAATGGGCTGGAAATGCTCCCACTCCACCGTTTTGCATTTGGAAAGAATGTTATTAATAGCCTAGGTGGGCTCATATAGCTCAATGGTATTACTTTGCCTGACCCTGTGCTAAAGAAGGACAACACTGTACATTCATATCCATTATATGCATGCCAAAACAAATATGAAAAAAGGATGTTTATCTAAAAATGGGAACTGATCATGGTAAGCATCGTAAGTATGTATTTATCGTGTCATAAGTGAACTGAGGGTACAGTTGTAATGTATTTATAAACAGAAAGTTTAAAAACTTGGCATTATACTAAATGTCCTTTGACCAGAAGCTGACCACTTGGAGTGTCTCTGGTGTTGCCATAAGGAGGTCCTCCATTGTGCACCTGACAGGGTTCAGACTGTATTGTAGTAGGAGGTCTGTGGTTTGCTCTTCTCCACATTCACATATTATGAACTCCACTTTGTAGCCTCATTTCCTAAGATTGGCTCTGTATCTCATGGTGCCAGAGCACAGTTTGCTCAGTGCCTTCCAACCAGAAGCCACTAGCATAATAAGTAAGCAGTAGATATGTACATGGTGGAAGAGTTACTTTTAGATGCCATAGCTTGGGATTCTGGTATTTGTAGTCTACAAGGTACCCTTTCCAAGCTCTAAACAAGGAAAGTGAGAGCATGTGTTATTCACTCTCTGTCTGCCAGCATAGCTAAGGCCAAAGCAATAAAATTGATTACCTGGAGATGAGTGACATTTGGTGGAGAGCACCTTATACTGTCCCTCAAGCAGGAGCATTTTGACATCGCAGTCTCCTTCCACAGCCTGGAAGTTCAAAATATTAGAATTATATGTGGCAGGAATTATGAAATAAGTACCATATTTACTCATTTATATGTTGATCCCTTGTATAAGTCAAGGACATGCTTTGGAGCCCAAATTATGGCTTTTGATAGAACTTGGGGATGTCAATCATAGAATCATAGAATCGTAGAGTTGGAAGAGACCTCATGGGCCATCCAGTCCAACCCCCTGCCAAGAAGCAGGAATATTGCATTCAAATCACCCCTGACAGATGGCCATCCAGCCTCTGTTTAAAAGCTTCCAAAGAAGGAGCCTCCACCACACTCCGGTGCAGAGAGTTCCACTACTGAACGGCTCTCACAGTCAGGTAGTTCTTCCTCATGTTTAGATGGAATCTCCTTTCTTGTAGTTTGAAGCCATTGTTCCGTCCTAGTCTCCAAGGAAGCAGAAAACAAGCTTGCTCCCTCCTCCTGTGGCTTCCTCTCACATATTTATACATGGCTATCATCTCTCAGCCTTCTCTTCTTCAGGCTAAACATGCCCAGCTCCTTAAGCCACTCCTCATAGGACTTGTTCTCTAGGACAGAACCCTGCTGATGGCACTCCTCTCGTCACTTCTTTTCGGGATGAAGAGGAAGCATTGGTGAGCACCCTCTGGGTTCGTCCATTTAACCAATTACTGATCCACCTCACCATAGTAAAACTTAGGGGCATGTCATTCTATTCCAAGAAAGAGTTAAGAGTTATGGAACAGAATTACAGTACAGACTAAACTAAGAGTTGTTTCCTTGACTAAAATTGCTAGACTTATACACTGAGTGTTTGCAGTATTTGTTCAACAGTTCACTAATTACTCACAACTACTTTTGGAGGAACATGCTGTCATTGTTTTAGTGGTGTGAGCCAAGCAAAAACAACACACACACACACACACACAAAACGCAAACATTCATTTTAAGATTGGTATGCACATAGGCATAATTCCTGATAAGTGTTTAAGCCTAGGAGTTATGCAACCATATGGATATTGTTGGACAGTGGCTTCTGGCGATTTCCACCATTGTCTGTATTAACTAGGCAGTCCCATTAGCTCTGTCATGGCAAAATGCAATACTTACATGTTCTGTTTTTGCTCTTACTGTACAATTTTCAGCAGGCGTTGGACTCATCACATGGCAATTGGTTTCCAATGTGTCCAACTCCATGAAGACCATTTTTCCCGTTGGCCGCTGGGAAGAAACAAAATGTATTTTGTGGTCAGTGTAAAATCAGCATAGATTGCAAGGCACTGCAGGTAAGCTAGTTCTGTGCCTCAAACCCTTGGCCCCACTTTTCATCCCATGAGCCATATCACAAACGTGTTCATGAGGGAGGCAAAACAACAAACAGATGATTTGAACTGTTTGTTGTTTTCCCTCCCTCATGAACATGTTTTTGATATGCCTTAGTGAACATACAACCCAAAGCCCATGTCAAAGCATGCTTCCTGATGTAAGTATCCTCAGTACCCATTCTGAAAGAAGAGCGAGAAATATTTGCACACCATTCTTAGTTACTTGGCATTTTTGTAGTACTTTCTTGTAGAACTTGTTCCTTTACAAAGAGCAAGGAAAGAATCACAGGATTGTATAGTTGGAAGAGAGGAAGTGAAGTGAATACAGTTAAACTTTCACATTTACAGATTGGATTATTCGTGGATTTCATTAAAATATTATCTCAAGGAATTTCTAGGGCCTCCAGCACAATTTGATAGTTAACATCTGCTGGAAGTTGAAAATAAGGAGTTGCACTGAAGGCAATCAAGCCCCACAAATGCTCTACCCTTAACTGACATGAAAATGGCAAGACCTGGGTTGTTGTACAAAGCAACACAGAATAACAAAACAAACTTACAGGAAAATAAATCAAATACTTTTCTTTGGCTGGGGATGGGAAACTCCATTTCAGGTTGAGATTTTTTTTGTTACTAAAAGTACAATACAATACAATCATTGTATTGCATTGTATTGTAATGTTACTAAAAGATATTATGGACTGGAATTGCATGATTCTGTATTAAAATCTGGCCTCACGCAGAAAAATGAGCAGCAGTGAGGCTCCCCAAGGTATTTGACCACCAGAAGTAAAGCACAATACGATATCCTCTCTATTCCGTATATAGAAACGATCTGAATTGACAGCTGAATCATTAAATCAAGGCTGGCAGTGGAGTATAGTTCAGCAGGATACTTTGGGGGCTGCAGGACAGGTTGTGGCACACATTTCAAAAGGAAGGGAATTCCCAAAGGTTGAGCAGGGATGACTGGAGGCAATACAGGCTATGGTGGAGCTGTAGTTCAAACTTTAAAGGAGCTCTCCAAGTTCCTGAATTTTAGTTCCAAGTCAGTTCAGTACCTTGGATAATTTGTGTGTAATTCTGATCACTGTCCTATTGACATACCACTGGGTAGCGAAACTGCTGTCCCTGCCCTTGAACATCTACTGAAATGGATATTTCATTCTACCAAAGAGTTGCTTGCTACATTTTGCAGTAAGTAAAGGAACTCATGTTTTTATTTAAAGAGATTCCTCCCTGTGCCACAGTAAGGCAATTCACAATAAAAATGAATATAAGTCACCACAGCTATTTACTTATATAATAAAACTGGAGTTTGTACAGGTTTCTTGGGACATTGAGGGAGTGGTAGTCCACAAAAAAGGAAACTGGCTTAAATTTGGAGCAAAACAAGACTGGAAACCATTTCCTAGTTTATCTCAGCATTTTATTTATACAGCACTTACCCTGTCCATAACCGTGACTTTATCGATTCTGTTAAGGACATGCTTATATCCATGAAGAGTGTGGGAGTTGATGTGATTCATTGCAAAGTTGGCTGCAGCTTCGGACTCAGGGTCATCACAGTCAGGCTGGCTGGCGATGAGTGGAGGGAAAGGCTCGGAGGTTGCTTTGGATGCTAGGATCTGGCCCAGAAGGACCAGAGCTATGAGAGATTTCATGGTTCAAGTTTGCCGAAGGCCTAGAGAAGCGATGTTCTTCTGCGAGGAAGGAGAGGCAGTGGGAGCCAAAGCAGGGCTCCCATTTATAGACAATCCCACCACAAACCCCGCCATTTGCAAACATGAAAGCTTGCAATCTTTGTCCCAGGTCTGGAGAAGGACGGCAAACAAGAGAAAGAGAAAAACAAATATGTGGGGACATTGAGTCAAAGTTTTACTAGATAAGAAGGGGGGAATTGCCAAGTCTGCTAAAATAAAGATGACAAGAGCAAAAGACACAAAACCATCCTTGAGTCCTGTTTCTAGTCAAAAAGAACTAGGTGGCAGTTGGTAAGTTCTAAGTTGAAAGGTTAGGGTAGTGTGAATCTGTTCTGTGTTTTAGTCTGAACTTTAAGAGAGCTACCCAAGGTATTGGATGCATTTTGGGGAGGATGAATGATGTCCTTTAAAGTCCAAGTTGACAGTTTCATTGATAAGGAAACTACAAACCACCAATGCAAAATCTTTAGATGTACAGTGGTCCCTCTGTATCCACGGATTCTGCTTCTATGGATTCAACCTTGATCTTGCCATTTTACATAAGGGATGCCATTTACTGAGCCCCACTGTATATATTGGGACCTGAACAACCACAGATTTTGATATCAATGGGGAGGTTTGAAATCAAACTCTAATGGATACCAAGGGTTGAGCCACAATAGGTAATATCTTTTGGTGGTAATAAACACAGTAGGGATCTTAATCTTCAGCTATTTCATCTTTGATTGTGAAGATGGCCTCTAATAACATCAGCTTTATTAGAAGTCCTTGTAGCATCGTCTTTACCTTGGATGTTAGCTGGAGTTGAGGCTTGACTTTAACAGGCTAGGTTCTTTGCACGATCTCGACCACACTTTCACATATTTGGCAGAATGTGGGCTGAATCACACACAAGTAGTTAGATTTTAAGAAAGGCATTGGTAAGCTAATACTGGCAGCATATTGATTTCATTAAACAAGGGATCTTATTGGGCCATTATACTTCTACGCCAATGTGTTCTGGATTTTGGAAAGGCTCCTCCTTCTTTTCCAACTGCCCAAGAATATCCAAATGGCTGCTGTGCAATTCCGTCCCCAGATACTGATTGCTTACAGGAAATAATACATTCAGGTAATAAGGCTGCTTTTGTGATGTTGGCAAGAATGGTCAGTCTTAGACCACCATGCTAGTCCAGATAAGGTACTAGATCTATCTGTGTGCTATGGCCAAAGAAGTAGCTACACTGATGTAACATGTAACTAGAGTTAAGTAACCATAAATCATTGAGAGGAATCCTATCTTCTGGAGTATTAGTTATCATGGTATCATTAATTTGGTTACACTGGTCTTGGTGGTCTTTTGTCCTGATTGAGTAAGGGTGTCATATTTTCTGATGACTGAGCAAGGAAAATTAATATTATCTCTGGTAAAATGGGGGATTATTAACCATATGTTATGTAATGCAAATAGGGCTTCTGCTGATCAGTCAGGACATCGAACCAGCTCAAAGTTAAATGCTGAGTTTTAAATGTGGGTTAATGATCAAGATTTAAGTCAATAGAATTGGCCCACTCCTTTGAAAAGTGGCCAAAACTAATGGGATTGAATGTCATACATTAGCAGTTCATGGTCACATACATGCAAAAACTGCCTGTTATCTCCACTGCAGATTTTGCAAGATTATCTTCACAAATTTAGGGCCTTCCAATGTTACCACCACATCATCTGGAACATGTATGATCTTGCCTGCTTTCAAAAGCTAAGGTTGATTGAGATGAGTTAGTATTCAGGCAGAAGATTGATAGAGTCTGCTGGTGGTCTCCAGATAATACTATCACGCTCAAACCTCATAGACAATTGTTTCCATTTATGAGAGTTGGAAGAGACTTCACGGGCCATTCAGGCCAACCCCATTCTGTCAAGAAGAAGGAAAATTGCCTTCAAAGCACCCCCGAAAGATGGCCATCCAGATTCTGTTTAAAAGCTTCCAAAGAAGGAGCCTCCACCACACTCTGGGGTAGAGAGTTCCACTGCTGAACAACTCTCACAGTCAGGAAGTTCTTCCTAATGTTCAGATGGAATCTCCTTTTTTGTAGTTTGAAGCCATTGTTCCTCATCCTAGTCTCCAGGGCAGCAGAAAACAAGCTTGCTCCCTCCTCCCTATGACTTCCCCTCACATACTTATACATGGCCATCATCATGTCTTCTCTCAGTCATCTTTCCTTCAAGCTAAACATGCCCAGCTCTTTAAGCCGCTCCTCATAGGGCTTGTTCTCCAGACCCTTGATTCTTTGAGTCACCCTCCTCTGGACACATTCCAGCTTGTCAACATCTCCATTCAATTGTGGTGCCAGAATTGGGCACACTATTCCAGATGTGGTCTAACCAAGGCAGAATAGAGGGGTAGCATGACTTCCCTGGATCTAGACACTATACTCCTATTTATCTCGTGCAGACAAGTCCCATATGGATGATTGCAAATGGAAAGCACCCAAAACAACTGAGTAACTAGTCTGTTTTGGGGGATGTTTGCAGTAAAAACAAAAGAGGGGAGAAGTGGTGGGAAAAACAAAAGACTTTTGCACATTTTCTTTTTTAAAGTGTAGTTTTGAATCATTTTAATATTGCAGAAGGCTTCATCCCATTATTATGATCATTGTTGGAAAGTTTTAGCTGCTTTTTTTAAAAAAATGGTAATTTACCTTGAGTCCCAGTTTTGGGAAGAAGGTAATATGAGGATTAAGATGGTGCAAGAAGTCAACAACATTTGCACCTTCTGTAAAATTCCATGAATGAGTGTTGCTACACAAAAAACTTAGTCTACAAGCAACCTGTTGAACTTTGGTGAAGAAATTAGGATGTTTCCTCCCTACTAGCATTATCTTATCTCATCACCTTGAGTGACAGTTTAACTTGGAGTGTAGGTGGACGAGTGAAGTGTGTCCATGCACAAAATAGGAAAAAAAAGTCTCAAATTTTTCCACTGAGGGTGCATCTATTGACCATGGACTACGATCTAACACATAGATGTGGCACGGTCAACAATTGTATGTCCTGAGAACAAAACTATGGAACTAGACATTCCCTTCACTATCAGGCACTGTCCTCTTCAACAGGTACACACTTTTTCCATCAGCAAAAAGTTAGAAAAAAAATTGTTGATGACTGCAGTCCCTCTGGAAAAAATCTGTAGAGTTGCAAACCTTTGCTTTTTGCCATTCCTCCACACAGGCATGGAATGATTTGAGACATTTCCTCCTTATTAGGATGAGAACTTCTGCACAGATTCTGAATATTTTTTGAATTTCCCATTAAATTGTGGAAAACATTTCACTTTACAAATTAAAAATGGTGCTTGTAATATTTTTGGCAAACAAAATGTTCACAAGAGTCCTGAAATGTGGAAAAAGCGCATGTTAATGAACAGTTTTCATGACAATGAAACTTGTGCGCCAGCTGTGCCCGTACCTTGGGAAGTCTGACTTGGCCACGGTAGTCCACGCTCTGGTTACATCCCGTTTAGACTACTGCAACGCTCTCTACGTGGGGTTGCCTCTGAAGACTGCCCGGAAGCTTCAATCAGTCCAACGAGCGGCAGCCAGATTGCTAACAGGAGCGGGGTACAGAGACCATACGACCCCTCTGTTACGCCAGCTCCACTGGCTGCCGATTAGCTTCCGTGCACAATTCAAAGTGCTGGTTTTGACCTATAAAGCCCTAAACGACTCCGGCCCAGTTTACCTGTCCGAACGGATTCTCCCCTATGAACCATCAAGGTTAAGATCTTCTGGAGGGGCCCTGCTCTTGGTCCCACCACCCTCGCAATCACAGTTGGTGGGGACGAGAGACAGGGCCTTCTCGGTGGTGGCTCCCCGGCTTTGGAACTCCCTCCCACTAGAGATCAGATCGGCTCCCTCCCTCCTGACGTTCAGGAAACTACTAAAAACCTGGCTCTGGAATGTGGCATTTGAGGACTGAACCTAGAACCTCTCTTTGTGAGGAATTATGATGAACTGTGACTATGAGTATGACTATGACCATGACTGGATTGACGATTTGGCTTGGGAAATTGTAATGATGATGTTTTACTGTACTGTATTGCACTATTTAATATGTAATGAATTTGTACTTGTTGTTCTTTATATGATTGTTTTTATACATGCTGTAAACCGACCTGAGTCCCTCGTCGAGGTGAGAAGGCCGGTATAGAAAACTTCTAAATAAATAAATAAATGTTTCTCCCGGTGTTCTTTGATGTGAAGGGAAAAAAGGTTTAACTTTGGTGGGTTTCATTATCCATAGATTCGACCACCATGTTCTCTCTAGGATTCTCTAGGTCAATGTTTCTAAACCTGTGGGTCCCCAGATGTTTTGGCCTTTAACTCCCAGAAATCCTAACAGCTAGTAAATTGGCTGGGATTTCTGGGAGTTGTAGGTCAAAACACCTGGGGACCTACAGGTTGAGAACCACTGCTCTAGGTCTTCTCAAACGATCCTATGGTTAACTTCTGCTGGATGTCATGCTGAAATTAAACTATTGTTTTAATTGCATTTTAATTGTACATTAATTGTATTTTATTGTTTTTTATGCTTCATAATTATTTTTTTAATTTTTTGTTTTGATGTTTTTAATTTGTATTATTATATTATGTTGCTTTTTTTTGGTTGCATGCTGCAAGTCGCTTCTGGTGTGAGAGAATCAGCCATCTACAAAGACATTCAAAGGATCTGCGGATGTGTTATGATCCTGCGGGGAGGCTTCTCTCATGTCCCCTATTTCATCACCTGACATCCATTGGGAAGTAGCTGCCAATAATGAAAGGACTAAAGCATTGACATCTCCAGCCCATCCTCTGATTGAATATCAGCCAATATGCCAATGGCTTAAATTTTTTAAAAAATAGCTTTCTAAGATCTACAGAGATAATTGCAGGAACACCTCAGCAAGCAAGAGTCCAAACGTGGCAGGTTAAAACCCAGAACCTCAATCAATGGCTGATACCAGATGAGAAACTCCCTCCTGGGCACACAGAAGACTGGGCGACTT